GTTTATAGCATAACGTTAGCATTTTGCTTCTGGCGATTAGATTTACGATTAGAAAACTATAAAAGTATGTGGATGTTATCCGACTGAACAGAAACGTGATCCGTCTCTTAAATGTGTTTCAACCACAGACCTTATTTCCAGCTATTTTCCCAAATCCTATGGTGAAATTGCATTCCTTTTTTGTCGAAGGAACCGGAAGAAGCTTACTTCCGGGTTTTAGGACGCGTCACTGTGGCACTCTATACCATGCATGGTAACATACATCAACCAAATCAAAAGGAATTCAAAGTAGGATGTTCACTCTTACAATTTTGGCAATTTTCCCACTCTTGCGAAGCTGCTGGACTGCGTATGCATGCTCCACGTTGTCCATGGAGACAGCATTGACCATACGACTCTGTCATTTCCCTAGAGAGAGGACACAGAGACAGGCATCATGCCGGAGTCCTTCTGTAGCAGGAAGTGTAATTCAATACTGATACATGTCAATGATAGAACAACATCTTACTGCAGCAGGCCTTCTGCTGGACCTCCTTTCAGAACATCCGAGATGACAATGGAGGTCTCGCCACTCTGAAAATGAGGCTCATTTTCAGAGTGGCGAGACCTCCATTGTCATCTCGGATGTTCTGAAAGGAGGTCCAGCAGAAGGCCTGCTGCAGTAAGATGTTGTTCTATCATTGANTCTTTGTCTCTCTGCATGCAGGCACCAGGGTTTGGCTTGGGGATAGCCATATTAGGAGGTCGGGATAACCCTCAGAGTGGCGAGACCTCCATTGTCATTTCGGATGTGCTGAAAGGAGGTCCAGCAGAAGGCCTGCTGCAGTAACATTTGGTTCTATTANTGAAAATGAGGGTTATCCCGACCTCCTGATATGGCTATCCCGAAGCCAAACCCTGGTGCCTGCATGCAGAGAGACAAAGATTAGGATGTTGATGTGTGGAACAAAATACTATGAATCAGAATCAGAATATCTTTATTGGTGCATGCATGATATAAATAGGTCTGAATACCGACAGACAGACAGACGGACAGACAGACGGACAGAGCTAAGTGAAATAGTCGACTGGCATATTCCACTTTTTCTTTTAAACGGTACAAAAATATACATTATTACGAAACATACTCCACATATTATTCGTTCACAGCCAGCTAAGTTTTGTCTGCAAAAACATGCACAAAATGCAGTTTTGGTGTATTTTTGTACGCTTCATAGACAAAAAACATGAACAGAAAAAGCTCTGATGTCTGCTTTGTCTGTTCCACCTGCATCTGTTCACACAGTAAGCACACTTAGAGGATGCTGAGGAAGAAAGCACAGATAGCAGAAACAGGCAGAGCACAGAGATACTGGGAGCAGGAGGAGTTTGAACAAAGACAGATGTAGAGAACATCTGAGGGCGGAAGGCAGATACGTACCCTGTGTAGTGTTACTGTGTGCTGTTCCCAAATGACAGTCTCCTCCATTGCGGCGCTCTGGAAGACAGAGATAAAGCACAGCGTGATTAACAAGAGACGGCCTTTTGTCTCCTGACAAAGGGACAGAGGGTTAGTCATGTGACCTGACACTTCCCTCGAGTTAACACCAAACAGGTTCAAAGTCATTCAACATTTTCAATACAGCTGACAATATATCAATGTAACACTTATCCAAAGGACAAACCTATTGTTTTCTCTCAAGACATTGGTTGAATGACAGAGAGTTAATTGGAAACCATTATATCATTGAATACTGGTAATGATGTTTTGAGCAAAAATGGCAAAAGATAATTGGTTGAAGCTTCTCAAATGTAAATAAGTCTTCTATCATGGAAAGCTGCATATCTTCGGAACTAAAAATGATTTTCATTATTGATTAATCTATAGACCCTTTCCCCCCCCCCGTCAAGAAAACAATAAATCATGTACCATGCAAAAATAATTATTCAAACTGATGAATTGTAACATTTCAGTGTTCGAGCTCATTTGCTCCTTAATGGATTTTCACAGCAGCATTGCAGCACAACTGTGACTTTAACCTTTATCTCTATGTCTGCAGCATGGTCCATCAGGAGCTTCTCCATGTGAAGAATGTGGATGTGATGAGCACAATCTAGCTAATTGCCTCCATAATGTTTACGCGATGTACAGTAAGTGCACTTTTGCAGTATAATTAATCTTATCTTGGATTGAGGGAAAAGAGGCTTTTTTAAATGATTTGCATCACTCCTGCACTGCAAAGAAAGGAATGGAAGGAATACTATTTGACTGCACTGTCAAATATAGAGAGCACACACTGAAACAATAAACGGACTAATATCATACACATTTTAAAAGACAAATCATATAATTTGACAGGTAAGCCCATTTCCACTTCATTCCCTTTACTGAGTTAAGAGTTTCTATTAAGAGAGAGGCAGTCTCAGTGTTTCTGGCCTCGTCACATGCGAAATGTAATAAGGATGGGAGCTGTCACATCCACTATACACATACAGCACTGCACCCAGCAGCTTATTGAGTTTGTTTCAAGTTTAACACTGTTACCTATTTACAGTGATACAGATAGCACTGTGCTGTGCTTGGTTTTATCTGCAGTACACTCACACGTTACCAAACAGACCACACACCGTCAACATCCTCTCCACTAAAGTAGACCCACAGTGAGAGGTGCCATGTTTACACTGAATACAATCACACAACGACACATACTCTATATGCATTACATTAATGCACACGATGTTCATACTGCTTACTGCACATATTTCTTGTTTCATATTTTATATCCCATAATTCATTCATAGCATTCTAGTTCCATGTAAATTACTGCTTTATTTTATTGCTATTTAACTATATTTTATTACGGTGTCCGTAAAATATTTTTTGTTTTATATTAGATTTCTTCAAGGCAAAATTCCTCGTATATGTGAACCTACCTGGCAATAAACCTGTTTCTGATTCTGATTGATTAAACCCTGCTAGGTACAATGAGGTCACACTGACAGTCTTTGAATTAAAGCACAGCCTCCGTTACATGAACGCCACTGAGGATGAGATGAAGGTCGCCTCCTTCAGCTGTTGGGTCAACACTGTCCTCTGCGCCCCACTTCTTATCCTATCTCTCCTTTTATATCATTTCACCTCCACCACAATCTCACGACACATTAGACATTCAATGACTGCGTATAAAATACTTGCAGGCCCATTGCTCTGGGGGAAATTACAACCCACATCACAGCAACTTAATGCAATGAACCCCATTTGTCAAGTAAATTGATCCGACGAGTGCGACCTTAAATGGGTGAGACTGTCGCACATTTCCCTCCTGCTTTGCCGGTAATTTCTCTGACACCTCCAACACTTACAAGACTCGTTGGGAAGAGTGATCTCATGTTGCGGCACATTAAAGTGCAATGAGAGTTGAGCGGAGGGAGATGAACGTTACATTAAAGGCAGCATCACTTCTAGTGCTCGAACTCTCAGCTGACAACATTTTAGTAGTAGTAGTAATTTATTTTGGTCCTTACTGAGATTATTTTATTCCTTATTTCCCAAAATGAATGCATAAAAATATTATAAACAACAATAAATATTGGCAACAAGGGGTAGGCTAAAGGTTTTTAGAATATATTCCTAATGGGCAACCCTTTCACTACTAGGTTAACAGAAAAAGTTGTTTTTTCAGCCATTTCATACAAATTGAAAAACATATCTCGTGTGGTGTGTTTACAATTCCATTATCAACATTGTTCTTACATTTGTTAATCAAACGCCTTGTTAGCAGCTTCAAACCCCAAACGTCTTCACGTTGAAGATAAATCTGCACATCACTATAACAATGTGGTAAAGTAGGGCCAACCAGTTCAAGTGAATACGAGTCACAGGAAAATGGAAACACTTTACAGGGAGATAATGTCTTCAATCTGGGCTATCTTTAGCAACGTCAATGTATGATAGAAAAGTCTAAGGATGGAATTTAGCTGGCTGCTGCCGTCCTGTTTATTGTTTGACCCCCCAGACCCTTCAGCACGTCGTCCTCATGTCTGTCTCGACCTGTCGGCTAAGTGCCAAGTGTTAGCCCGTGTCTGGATACAGGTGACTGAATGCATCGCCACAAGTGGCCCCGGACGTTTGGAGCTTTGGCAGCAACAGTCTTGAACTCCTCAAGCAGCCTATGGTTGGATTCACACAAGGAGGGGGGGGACAAAAGTTTGCATAGGGAAACCCCCCCTGGCTTTTTATATTGAATACACTTCCCCACTTCCGAGAGAAGAAAAAGACATCTGAATATTAACAAGACGGCTGAAAACAGGGGCAGAACGTTTTCTATTCGGGGGAAGAAGATTTATACCCATATCTTCTTCATCAGCGCTGTGGAAACGCTGATGCAGAGAACTCCCACATTTCCTCTACATTTAAAGATGGTGTGCCACTGAACTGCAAAGTTATGAGAGGTGCTGGTTTCCAGTTGACATTCCTACTTCCTGACATTCTCTATTAGCATTTATGCAGCGCACACACAAACGTATAAAGTTTTGTGTTGCAGCCGGGTTGTGAGAAATGTGTTGTTGGGAAATATGATTACAATATGATTAGAGAATGCAAACTTTCTGATCCAATACAAATACATCTCCATACAATTAATGGAATGTTAAATCCCAAATGAGGCAAAACAGAAGGAAGTGGAAAATAAATTAAAACTAAACAGAATTTTAGGAAGGGAAAACAGAACACCCACACACACACCTTTCACTTTGAAGGGATGTCATTTTGCTTTCTCCTCCAGCAGAGCTTGTTGCTCTGGTAACAGAGGGGGAACAGTGTGGTGTTGTTCGAGTGGCCTGACATTTTCAGGCCGTGTCTGAAGGTTCCTCTCAAATGTGTGTGGGAGGTTTAAAAAAAAGACGGCTGAATTAATTTAAAAACAAAAGTTTTGTTTCGCATTTTAAATAAGCACTCTTTATTAGTTGCTAAATGTGTATCCTAACACATTCAACACAAAAGGCTCCATGGCCTCAAAAGTACTGATATCTGTACTGTAGGAATTAACAAAGATACATGACTGGCAGCACAATCAAATCAAAATACTGTACACACATGGCATTTTGTCTTCAACCCTAGAACCAATCCAACACTTTATTGCCCTATTCAGAGCCAGGGACACTAATCTCAAAAGTCAAGTAAACAACATAAAAGCCAGCGTTTGAGTCCACTCTGCACTGCTCTGTGTACAGTTTGTACTGAAGTCGTGTCAGCATCCAGAGACTGATGAGTTTTTGTGGCCCTGTTGTGTACGCCCTTTATGGCCACAAAGTCCCGGTGCCAACAGAAGCTTCATGCCACAAGCCAGAGCCAGGGCTGGCAGCCGCTGCTCAGCGGAGACGCGCCATGTTGGTTGGGTCATGCTTGGGGGATTACAACCAGGGAACTTTGGAGCCAGCACTACAACACAGATGGATCACACAGCTGAGGGCAGAGAGGACAGGAAAGCTGTGGTCAAAAATGGACTGTGTGGAGTCAATACACAGACTGTTAATGACACAATTCCTCAATAAACCCATACAGATGGGCTTTATTGCTCAGCAGAACAAACTATTAAAGCATGTCTGTCAAAGAAACTCTCTCACATCAGCAGTTTAAACCACTAATTACCTCATGAATCAAATTAGGGCCGCAACTAATGATTGTGTTCCATAATGGTAGAGGAGAAATGATTGTGGAGATGATTAGGCTATTTATTTCTAGACTGAAATTTGATCAGAAACTACTCTGATAAAGTATAACTTATTTTCTCTTGAGTTTTATGTTTTTAGCAAAACTTGCAAAAGCTCACTGGTTCAAGTTCTTTGTTTTCTCGAATGGGTTTTGCACTCTTGGTTCGAAATTATACTGTATTTTGATTGTTACTTTCATTATATTTAGATGTGCAAACCATTGTCTTGCTTTAACATTAACATCACATTTACCCAAAGTCCTCATTGACAAAGTATTGTTTTGTACGACCAACCATCCAAAACCCCAAAATATTCAGTTTATAGTTACCGTACACAAATCAGAGAAGATTAGCAAATAGTCACATTGGAAAAGCTGCAACCAAATAACTGTTGGAATATTTGCCTTAAAAATGGCTAAAGTACACAAATGATTTAACTGTGTACTGCAAAATACAAAAGGTTATTCCTAAATGAATCCATATACTGATCATTTCAACTGTATCTTTGGCAAATATGGCCAAACTGGTATTTGGTACCTGGTAATAGGCAGTCAATTATTCAAAGTGATCTATAAGGCACTGATTTCAAATGAAGCAATGACAAAAACAAGTAGTTGTGTGACCTGGCAGGACCATTTCAATCAAGCGCAATCAAATAATACCTGCTGTTTGGCGACTATTGGCAAGTCTACCAGCCACTTTGGCAGCATACTTGTCTTTTGACAGTTCTTTTCAATTGCAGATTTGGCTGTTAAAACAGTAAAGGGAGCTGATCTTTGGGATCGCA